GCAACTTTTTCATAGTTTAAGAACGTTTGTTCCTTGTTTCAAGAACGTTTTTTTCTCATTTCAAGAACAACATTTAAGAACAAAACTTTTTCAAATTTAGAATTTTGTTTATGGGTTCCCTCAGTTTAAAGATATTTTGGCAAAATCAGCTTCGCATAAACGTGATATGTGGCTTTTTTGGCTGCGGATAAAGGCAAACAAACAAAAGGGCACTCGCTCCCCGCGTTTAATAAATGTTTCTGTCTGCGTTTTGTTTGGGGGCAATTCGCCAACTTTTCACCTGGCCGAGCTTAGCTTTTTTCCTCGTCGAGCGGCGTCCTTCGAGTCCTTCGAGTCCTTTGAGTGCGCACTTTATCAAAGCTTAGCACCTGACAATTTGCCGCGCGACATGCGGCCATCTGCATCTGGCCTCTCTGTCTGGCAAATTGTAATGAAAAAGTGCTTTGTCTCTGCACTCCGCGCAATTGTTGTTGCCGCCGGCATTTTCCACTTTCTGCAGCTCGCCGCCTTTGAGCAACTAATTAAATTAAATCCGATTAGTGCGGCGTGGCAAGTGGAAAGTGGAAAGTTTTAGAGCCCTTATGGCAATTCTCGCTGCCGTCGGCAACTTGCTGCACTCCCAATAAGGCGGAGTACCAAAGTGGGAACTTTGATATTGTCTTGTCTACGGAGCCCCACAATGGAAGCTTTATAAAACCAAAATTTTAATTAACAATGCCTTATAGCCTTGAGATTATAACGGAGCTTAGTTTTACTGGAGATCTCTGGAGAGGACTCACAACTTTTACCTGAAGCCTTTAGTTTCAGCTGCATTTTGCAGTATCACTTTAATATATATTGCTCAAAATATTTTGTGATGGGTTCCCTTAAAGATGAGAATGATATACGAAAAAAAAAACAGGATTCTTTAGTTGGAAAAAGAGTTGCTTTATAAATATTATTTTTCATTCAAAGTTAATTTTAGACTGTTTGTCTTTTTTATTTCGTTTTTGCACTTAAAAGTTCTACATATTCTCTAAAGGAAAGGCAAAAACATCCCTAAATTGGTTTTATTTGTTTCGTTAAAATAAAGTCATGTTCGTTATTTGTTCTTAGAATATTGTATGGTCCTTTCATAATATTTTCCCTTGAAGTGGATTCGTTTCCATTTTAGGAATTCCGTCTATTCCATTTCTTCATAAACTTTCATTCGTGTAGTTCTTAGTAAAAAGTTTTTTGTGGGCCACAGATATAAGACTTTCTATTTAATTCGACATGTTAAAAAATTCTTTAGCGTGTTGAACAGTCTCTTTATATTAAAAACCGATGCGAATCATAAAATAAATGTTTAAATAATATTTTTTTTAGGATTTAAGTTTTTAATTTGATTCAGAAAGGGATGTTATTTTGTTATTATGGATAATTTTGTCACTTGTTTTATATAGTGCTTCCCTTTGCAGATTTCTTAAAGGGACCCTTTTTATAAAATGAAGTTTAATTAAATGTTTAATAATTTTAGAAAATCTACAATATAAATGTTCATATCTGAGATTAAACCAAGTGTAGTCTATTGTTTCGAGTATGCAGCCAATTAGTTACCTAAAATCTCTGCGTCCTACACATTGATTTAGGACACTCTCCTTAAGCAGGTTTCCTCAAGCAGGACTCTATGGTGATTAACCAACTGGGATTTTCCAAGGGGTCAAGTGTTTGTTTGGACTCAAGCTTAATGGACAACCTGTGATGAAAGCTTTCATTAAACAACAGCATTGTGCGCACTCTCATTTCAAGTGGTTGGATTTTCCGTGGAAAAGGCGCTTATTAACGCCACGCCGAGCTGCCACTCAGGATGGGATGGGTGGTGGTTGCCATTGGGGGCATGCAACAGGCAACAGGCATCGGAGTTTTCCGAGCTCCGCTGTCAGCGCGTCACTCATTTTCAGTTTTCCCTCGCAGAAATCCCGCTGACTCACAGCTCGCATTTCTGCATAAATTTCCACCGAATGCGACACTACATTGCGGAATTTCGATTAGCGGCTGCCCGGGCTGTCGCTTTTGGCCGTGACTTTGAATTGGGCCTTAACCGTTGAGCAGTGCACTTCGAGGACCTCGCGGCTCCCGTTGCAGCAGATTGGCAAGGACTACGAGGTGAGTCTGTTGTGGCTGGGTCGCAGTTTGATAAATTGAGCGCAGGTCGGGTAGGGAGAAAGTGCTGGGGAAAGTGCTGTCGCCACACTGACGAAGATTGATCTGCTGTCGGCGATAATTAGTGCATTAGTCCGTTGTCCAGCACAAGATAGGTTCAAAAAGATGCAACCTTAAAGTTTAGAAACTTGTTAGCATTTAAAAAATTTTATTTAGACTAGTTCTGTAATGTTCTTGATATATGTTCTTTATATATGTTTAGAAACATACTGGTCAGTGACAAGTTTGTTTATCAAATGTAAGAGTTCTAAATTAGATAAGGTGTGACTATAGCCTTTTAAATAGTAAACATGTAATATTTCATTAAAAATAGATTTAATTTAAAAAATGGGAACACTAAGGAAATAATATTTGTGTAAAGTTCAATGCAAAACCAATAATGTAACTACACAGAGTTATAACGTTCTCAAAAAAAGGTTTTTAATGTGCATAGTTCAAGTTTTATTTGCGGTACTGACAATGTTTTTCTCAAAAACTAAACTATTAGTACATACTATGTTTATGCTATGAATATCATGCATTCTCCAGAACATGAAATTATAATAGCCCCTGTTTATGCAACACAGACAAATTCATGAAATGATATTAGTAAAGCTGTCAACTCTTTTGAATTTTATATAGAGCTCTATAGAGTAGTAGGCTGTGAAGTAGGCTGTGCCTCAGCATTTCGTAAATTGGGATTGAATTCATATACTATGTTTATGCAATGAATTTCATGCATTCTCCAATACATGAAATTATAATAGCCCCTGTTTATACAACACAGACAAAATCATGAAATGATATCAGTAAAGCTGTCAAATTTTTTGAATTTGATATAGAGCTCTATAGAGTAGTAGGCTGTGAAGTAGGCTGTGCCTCAACATTTCGTGCATTGGGACTGAATTCATAGTCAACTTTCGTGAGTTATCGAATTCATGAAACGGTGTTTATGCACACACGAATTTCCTCATTTCATGAATTTATTTCATGAAATAGGCATAGCATAAACACAGTAATAGTCATTAGTGTATACTTATCAAAAATAATTGCTGAACAAACTCAGTTTTACTTTTACATTCTCTCCATTTTGCTCTGATATTAAGAACATTGAACTCAAAATGTGCTCTCACGGTTTTTAAGGGTGAATATTCTTAATTCAAGAACAATGTGCTTAAATATTTATCTTTGTGCATGTTTCGAACAATTTGCATATTAAAATTGGTTAAGAAATACCCATTTGCTGAATAAACCCAATTTAGCATTTCTCTTCTCATCATTTTGTTCTGATATTAAGAACATTGAACTCAAAATGTGCATTCTGGGTTTTCAAGAAAGAATGTTCACGATTCAAGAACAATATTTATCTTTTTATATGTTTCTTACAATTTCAAAGTGTGTTTTACACATTTAAATTGGTTTAGAAATACACATTTATACTTAAGTTGGGGAATTCTGTGTCACCACTGTACTTTATCGCCCGATAAGGATGTGCACACACGCTAGTCTGTGCATTTATCTCCTTTTAAGGGCGACCATTTCAATTGCACCTGTTAACCTCTTGCTAAATTTATGACTTCCCCCTTGTTGTTGTAGTTGTCGTATCCTTTCGCTTTTGTTTTTGCTCAACTGTTGGTGCGTGCGATGAGGGGAGCGGAAAGAGAGAGAGAGAGAGAGAGAGGGAGGGCTAAGCCCCTTAAATAAAATCAACAGCTCACACATTCAAATGCAAACACAAATACACCACACAGAAGTGTAAGAAGGCACAACGACAAGGAATATTAATTTGCACACAAAGCGCATTATGCAAGCGAAAGGCGGGTGAAGGGGTGGTGGGGGGCGGGTCCTGAGGGTGGAGGGGGAGCCAGCTGTCAACCGGCAAACGGCTTTCACTTTCCTTCCACAGCCATCGGATGTGTGGGGAGTTTGGTGCGAGAGAGTATGTCCGTTTTCTCTTTGCCTTGCACTCTCTTTTTCTCTAAGAGAATGTGGAATATCTTTAAAAAAGATCTAAATAAATATAATACTCTGATCGAGATTCAAAAATCTCATTTTATTTAAAATGCAAAAGAAAAAGCAGTGTTGGAAAAATCCATTTTTGTATATTGCTCATACGCAGTGTTGACGTTGCTTAATCATTTTATTAAGAAACCAGTAAAACAATTGATTTTCATAGAATTAAATATATGCTTCAATATTATAAAAAAATTATAATTAAGAAAGGGAACTTACTAAGTAATGCATAAAATACGTGCAGATTAGAGAGCTACCTTTTAAAGAAGAATACTATACTGTTCAACGAGTCGTATACGTTATTTTATACTCTTTGATTTATAATAAAGGTAGGAAATTTTATCTTTCAAATGAAAAAATAACTTAGAGTTAAAATATATACTTTATTTACTAGAAAAGTGACACACATACATATCTTAAACAAATCCATTTCGAGATAAACGTTAAATTTTACGTTTTCACGTCTCATATGACTTCCAAGAAAGTCATACGCTTTGTGTAAGAAAAATAGGATAGTGACATTTTCAAAATTCGTGAAATAGTTAATAGTTAATGATTTAACCAGAAGATAAAGCTCCCACTCGCAACTGTAATTAAAAGCCGCAAGCTTGCATAAGCCACTTAACTGTTAAAAACTTCGGTTGCCTTGGAAATTAAGCTAACGGCTCAGCTTGAAGCGCTCTCTTTTCGCCAGCGAACTCACCACACCGCCGAAGAAGAGAGCGACCGTTAGCCGAAGAGCGCCACCGACTGAGTCTGAGGTTGTGAAAATTGTAATTGAAATTCCAGCGTGGCCGATTCGGCGCCTGCAGTGCGTAGGCGGTTGTCGTTGACTGACGTACGTACGTCGTGGCCAACAGCACGTGCTAACCGAGGCGGCGCGTGCAAGCAAAAAAATCACAAAAAATATAAAACAGCAGCTGTGGTGGCCAGCAACAACAACAATAACAACAACAGCATCTGGAGGAGAGCAGCCATTACAAAAACAACACATACAACACTTCACACACACACACACAGCTTTGCTATCGCAACAACAAAGACTTTGGGCTAGGCAAAGAGTAGGTGGAGGAGAAGGAGAGGGAGAGCAGAGCCAGGAGAGAGAGGAGAGCATCTAACTTAAGTGAAATTCAAGCGGATGGAGGAAGGAAGAGGAAGCAGCAGGACAGTACATCAATGCAGGCTTACTGTCTGAGTGTGTGTGAAAGAGTGCGAGCGAGAGAGTGAGTGTTCGAATGCGACAATAAATTAGCTGTAATCTGCACCTTGTTATTTGCACCTGAATCGAAATTATTGTATATTTTTTTTGCCATAACAAGCAAGTAATCAAAGTAAATTTACCAATACACGAAACGTGAACGTAATTCTATTTACGCAAATAAAACTCAACAAGAGGGCACCCGACGAAGAATAAGAAGAAGAGAAGGCGGATAAGTAGGCAACACAAGAATTAGAAGCAGCAGCGCAAACAGGATACTTAAAATATCAAGGCAAATACACACGCACACACACACAGTCACACACACACAGCCCAAAGGAGGTTCATATTTTTGGCCGAAGAAAAAACAACAACCGCACGAAATAAATATAAAATAAACCCAACAACGCTGAGGTGTATGGCCCAAAGGCAAGGCAAACAAACAGAGCCGAAAAAAGAAAAGGAAAGCGAAACAGAAACAGATTCAGAATCAGAAAGATGCCAAAATGCTGGACAGAGATTGACGAGGCAGAGCACCTACAACAACAACAACAACAGCAACTGCAATAACAATAACAAGGCCAAGAAAAACGACAAGCAGCTACAACAACAACAACAGCAGTGACAACCGCCAAATGTGAGCAGACAAGCGACAGCAATTGAGATATGTAAGTAACGCACACAGACGCATGTCCATATAGAGACAGTCGAGCCCCTTAAAGGCAATCAAGATGGTAGTTGTTGCAAAAAATCATTAAATTTATTTTTTTAACTTTTAAATTACTGTTTTTAAGGATTTGATTTTAGAAATTAAGAAATTTAGAAACTGTTACCTAAATAACTGTTTTAGGGATATTTATAGTTCTTTTCCTTACAATAATGCTAGATTTTGGGTATTTTCTGGGTATAATCAATTTTAAAGGATGTTGATATATATTTAGGAAACTGGCATTACCATAAATGTAGGAAAGAACAGTATTTACCTAAAAGTATGCAATCACTTTGAAGATGACTTTTATGATTATTTTAGATATTGTTGACTCCTCAGTTTCTAAGTTAATTATACCCAGAAACTATATAAAGTCTGGCTTTATTTGACATGATGGAGTTATTACCCAAATCAGTATGGAACAGGATGAAAATTTTACCCAAAACAGTTTTTTAGGGAACAATAAACATGTAAAAACAGTTTACGTAATAGTTCATCCCTTTTAAATAATGACAAATTTAAAGTGTTTCCTGGGTATAATTAACTAAAAAATAGATGATTACAACTATAATAGTATTTTAGGATATAAAAAATATTTATAAAACCGTTTTACGGAATAATTCCATACTGTTAAATAATGCCAGGGAACTTTCCTGAGTAACTTTCCTAAAATAGGTAAATGTTGTGACGCATATTTAAGTTGCAGCAAATTTTCTGATCAAGTTAAATATATAAAGATTATATTTTAAGGTTTCTTTTATATTAATTCTTTTTTCTGTCTTTGCGGATTTCGAATTTGGACTTGTATTTTAATCATATGTATTAGTCGTAATCCTTATATGTATGTAATACGTAAAAAATTCGGCAAAAGTCGTAGAATCGTTTGTCAATAAGTTATAGGAAATAGTGGCCTAGACTTGACTTTCCTGTTCTTGGGGCTCAGAAGAAGCAATTTCCCAACTTTTAGGTCCTTTTTCTCAAGTTTCTTGACTTAAACTCTGGACACCAAAGCCATTTAATCCTCTATTACTTTATCCAAGTCACTTTTTGCTTTACAAAATGAGGCAATTTGAGGCAATATTTGTACTATAATATGTCAACGGATATTAGCAGCAATGAAATTCACTTGTAGAGTTCGATTTATGGAAGTCATCCTGTACATTCACTGAGAATCGAGATGGCCCGAAAGCTTTATGCATATTTTTACAGCATTTAAGTGTGAAATGATGTGTTAGCGCATTATTTGACTTAGGAACGGAAAATGCTAAGCTTCCCAAGGAGAGAGAGAGAGAGAGGATGAGGAGGAGAGGAGAGCAAGAGACAGGACGGCGGAAGACAAAGAGAAAACAGGAGGAAAAGTGAGATGAGAGAATGAATTTGTTGAACCTGAGGCCTTAGGCCCAGGAGAGTTGAGTTGAAGTGGAAGACAAACAGGGCAACAAGGCAGATACACACACACCGTCGCACAGCCACACTGGCGTACCTTTGAGTGTATTCATGCCGAAGTCGCACGCACACACACAGCCTACAAGGAATCACACTTAAATGCCACGTTGTTCGCTACCCAAGTTGTATCAACTTGTGCTGTCCCAAGAACCTCGGCCATCCGCGCAGCATTCGAACTCAATTTGGAAGGACCAAATACCAAGTACCAACACACTCGCATTCGCACTCGCACACAGGACAAAAATCGATGGGACGAAAAAGAATGGCGAAAAGCGGCCATAAGCAAATACAACGTTTTTCTCATTTGGTCCTTGGCCGGCCTTAACTCATCAGGTTTTTCCTTACTTGCCACAAATCGGAATTTTAGTATACGGGGCGCCTAAAACTAGGCAACACTCTGGCCAACTCTCAAATCAACAATTTCCCCATAAAATTCGCTTTGCCCTAATGAGAAATCAATTAGCAGCGTCTGCATCCCAAAACAAAAAAACGGAACTGACCCAATCAATTCGGTCCAGACAGTCATCATTTTGGGTTCAGGGAACGCGACAAAATGTAGTTAAATGAACTGAAGGATGATTTTAAGAAGATTTTAGATTAAGATTTAAGATTTTATTAAAAATCATACTTTTTCAGTAATTTTTAAAACAATGTTGTTCTCATTACTTATATCATAAGTAAAATATATTTAACATTTTTTCTTGATCAAAAGACAGAGGTATTTTAAACAGAACTTAAACTAAAATTAAATGCATAATTTTTTCATTTGTAGAAATAATTATAATTCATAAATGTTATATTTATTATACAACAACGAACTATAATTATTTTTGGGTATTTAGAAAATGTATGTGCTTCTATATTGTTCTAAAACAAATTGAGATTTAATTAAAAGTTCTGCAAAGTATGAACTAAATTCCCTATACGTTAAATCCCTAATCAAATTAAATTGTCCAATTAATGCTCCCCTTCAATGTTTTCGGAGTCTTTTGACCCAGCAAAGACCCCAATCAGTATGCAAATATTTGGTCTTCGACCTATGCGAAAGGTAAATTGCCAAGGAATTTACAAACAAAGACTTCCAATATGCCTTGGACAAGAAGAGCCGAGCGAAGCAGCGCCCTCGATCTAATGGAATAGATAAATTGCTGGCTTCGACTGCCTTGATATGATTTTAATGAATCGGAATCCGAGGCAACAGTCTGGGTGAATTAAATGTAAAACGGGCGGTGGGCGGGTGTAATTAAATGCCTGAGAACTGCGAACTGCGAACTGCGAACTGCGCATTGTGCTCCAGACAACCGACATCTCCTTATATCAGCTGCAGCTCTTTGGCCGTGGCTCGTGTGTGTCCTTGAAAAGTGAACCCAGTCACTACCCAGTCACCACCCAGTCACCACCCAGTCGCCACCCAGCCTCCCATTTTAAGGTTTCACTTGAATGTCAACTGATTGCTCATGGAATTGCAATTGCAAAGCTTTAATTGACAAAAGCGGTGAGACTGCAAGTTGGTTCCTAGTACTTTATGTGGAGGTTGTCTGCCCGAGGAAGGCTCATAAATTACCACCCACAAGCGGGCGGTGGAAGCGTCGAAGTACGAAAATCAATTTCCGCTGGAACCATCGACAGTGTCGGACAACAAAACGGTTAGCTGAAATCGAAGGGGCCAGGATTGAGAAATGTTTTTTCCCTGTTTAACTCGATTCCTCGTCCCTTCCGCTTTATCTATGGGCTGCATATGACCGCAGATGTACGGCTGCTCCCCTGTACGATTGCTCCACTGCTCAACTGTCTGCCGTTAACGGTTCGATGCACACGATATACAGCATCCACTGCGAACAAATCCTTGGACGAAGTTCCATCGATTAAAACTTTTTCGATACTCTTAAACTAGTATACAGTACAATAATAAACATACGATAATATCATCAAATTAATTGATGTCATCAAATAAAGTCTGCAACCAGAAGTTAAGTCTTTAAGATCTGTTTTCTGGTTTGTTATCTATGCGGAAATACAGACTTCTTTTCTCAAAGTGATGTTAATTTAGCAAACGACAAATCCCTACAAAATCTGTTATCTTACGATTCAGTAAAACATACGTTCTGACAATCCTTAAAAATAAGAGTTGATGTCCTGGTACTTGTCAGTTTCTCTAGTCGACCCACAAATTTAACCAGATCATTACCTCTAGTTAGAAGTTTTAGATCAGATAAAATATTGAGTAACTACATTTTTCCGAAACAGAAACTTAAGTTAATGTCAAAAATTAACATATCACTGAGACTATTCAATCTTAACTTAATATAACTTTCTCTGACAGATAACAAACAAGAACCTTAACATGACATTGAGAAATCGGCCCTAAGAAAATGTATTTAAGAGATTTTCGTGACGCCCCTGATTGATAAATTTTAAAAATACATAGGGTCGTAGTATATTACTACTAGTAATTATGTACTACTATGTTATCGATATAGAAAAATCTTTTTTAGCTGGAAATACTGATTATGTCAGTTATAAATGTAATCATCTGCAATATATAAACTATTCTGCTCTAAAATATTTCGAACGAGTCTAAAATTGCCAATAATTTTGTACAAAATAACCTACATATCTGTGAATTTTTCTGAATGCCTGGGAGCAGCCCAAACCTCGATTTGACTTCCGCTTGCGTGGTTCCATCTATTTGCACACACATTGCCAGAGCCACTGGCTGACAGACAGGCAGCCATCAGTGCTCGGCCAGGCATTATAAGCCGCACCACATCGCATGGCGCCACATCAGCTGGCATCCACATCCAGCTCCACCTCCGCCGCCCACCCACTCAACCACCACCCCCCCCCTCCCAGGACATCGCGGCCAGTGCCACGTGCGCCCATTGGGATGTCAGAAACAAAGCGCCAACACTGCCGTATTGACTAATGAAAGTGGGCCTGGCGACCCAGCTCCGGACCAGACTTGGGCAAATAGAAAGGGACCCCCATCCATTCCTGCCCCATCCTTGATCGGAACGTAAATTGACAAAGAGCACAATGGCGTTGACGATGACAGTAAATCCCGTCCGTACAATGTATCCGTACACAAATACTCTGAATTGAGCGAACGCATCCAGTAAATTGCTCAAAGCCCGCCATTGTTATCGCCTGTGGGCGGGTTGTGGCAGTTGCAATCCTGATTGACTGACTAACTGCGTGACACACTAACTGACGATCTAGCTGACAGAAAGTGTATGTAAAGTGTACACTGTCCAACCAAAAAGTATTTTCTATTTCAGTTTTTGGACAGTTTTGAACAGGCTTAAAATTAAGCTACAATCAGAGTCAATTTATTTAACAAATTAATATTAAACAAGTTTCCAACATACACGAAAAAGTTTGAAATCTGCTGTTTCATATAAAATAGAAACATGTTAATATGGGGAAATTTTAATACAAATAACATTTTAAGCTTATTAAAACTTATTAATTTTAATTTTAATAATTATTATCATCTAAAATTTAATCATTATT